GAGTCCCCATCCCTGGAGGTATTTAAAAGACGTGTAGATGAAGCGCTTAGGGACATGGTTTAGTGGGCATGGTGGTGTTGGGTTGACGGTTGGACTCGATGATCTTAGAGGTCTTTTCCAACCTCAATGATTCTATGATTCTACCTCACTTGAAGCAGTGAGTGTAGAGGTAATATGCTGTTAAGGTAACCAAACCTATAGCTAGACCTGCACAAATCCTGATTTGGTGGGAATTCTGTAGTTTTAAATAATTTTTATTCCTCCTATTGAAAAACTGGATTAATGTACAAAATGAGGAATTATGTCTGTCCCCACAGGACTGTGTGTGCACACAGACTGAAAAGAGGTATCTTTTCTGGTAAGGATTTTCTGGAAAATACGAGAAAGTGGGTAGAAGTAAGTTTCACAACCTTACCTGAGGCTTGTTGCTTTTGCATGCATCATCCAAATGCTTATGCCATAATATTGCATGAAACCTTGAACCAGTCTGGAACTTGTAAACATTGCCTACAAAAATAAGAAAATCAAAGGCTCTAAATTTGCAGACAGACATGTAGTTTCAAGGGATTCTAATTTCTGTGCAGAAGCCAAAGTCCTGAAGTAAACTGTTAAACTAATTTGCACCTCAAATGCTCAAAGAGGATGTTGCTTACATAACAGAGACCATGTGAGGCATGTTATCCAACAGTCCTTGGGTGAAGGGAGTATGTGGCCTGCAAAGCTACGAGGAGTGTACAGGTAGAGGGACCAAATTACAGCCACAGAAAAGACCACTTACTAATTTACTCCTGGCTTTCTTCTCATTAAGACTGTTGTGGTTACTGCCAAACTTCTTATGAATGTTTTTGACGTTTGTGAACTTAGTTTTCTTCAAACTCCTATTGTGAGTTTCCTCTATGCCTTGTTATTTTGTAAATTGTTTCTTGCAATCAAATACTTTGTGCACTTTGGTCAACACCCAAGAGATGCACTTCGCACAGTAGATGCAAATCTGTGTCCGGCACCAAAGTTGAAAACGTGAAAAGTAAAGGAAGCCTCAAAAATCTTTATGTAACCACTCAAAGTGCAAAAAGACTCCAGGGGCTTTCTGATCTTTTGAAGTTTTTGAAGTTTAATCAAGGCGGAAGAATTATGGCACTTCAAAGTTAATTATTAAAAAGCAACTAATAATTACTTAAAAGGCATTTTTTGGTAATTGGTTTGACGTTTGAAGAATTTTTGTAATATTTTAATTGGCATCAACGTAAGTCAAGATTTTATATTGACCAATTTTAAGAAAGCTATTCAGAAACTTTGAGATCAGGGTGTGTGGGCACATGGACATGCAGCAATCTCATATTGGTTGGGCAATTTCTGCAAAACTTACTGTAGCTGTCAAGATACAGCAATACCTCTGTAGGCACCACAGAAGCACCACAGCGTATTGTAGAAATGTGTTCAATTTCATTTGTACTCTCCCTTGAAAATTCGATGTTGAAAATCTCCCTCTTCAGTCTTTTAAATGAGTGCCACTGCATGCTCTGTAATCTACAAACTCATTAATAGAGATTAATCTACTTCCTGTCACAGAAATATAATGCAGACAATGTCCATCCTGCAACATCTACCTTTGTCAGGGTTATTTAGCTGGAAAATATCAGGATGCTCAGGGTCATCAGGCAGTGCCACCATCCAGCCCACAATGGAGACTTTTTTACCAGGTGTAGATTTATACTGGAAGAGACAGACAAGTCAGTCACAGCTGAGAATGTACTAGGCGTTAACTTTTGACTGTAAAAGTTGTCAGACATATGGCTTAGCCTGGAACAGCAAGTACACTTGAAACACCCTTCCAGATCTGCTTATGAATATGCAATTTTTCATTTTAGAACAAATTTAAAGCTTACATGTTTTCTTTCAGTGCCTCTTAAAGATTTTGCTCCAAAGTACAGAAGAGTTGATCCTGAAAGCATAACCCAGTATCTAGTCCATGAGGAGAGCTGAATCAGAAAGGAAAAAATTAGGAAAAACTCTGCATATCTCTGACATTTCAAAAATCTATTCACAAGCAAGTCCAAGTGCTACCGAAGTTAATTTCAGAAGCAAGGAATGGAGAGTTAGCTAAAGAGCGTCTCCCGGTGTAAATCCGCCAGCTCTAAATTTGGATGGCTGGCTGTGAATACAATCCATCTTACTTGAGTATCTCATAAAAATATCAGGACTGATTGCTTCACAGCAAAATAGTGTACTGCCTTCTACTGGACAGATCTTAGACTTCTGCATTTGATCAATAAAATTTATTGAGATGACATCTCTGCAATTCTTCAAATCTTTTAGCACTGAACAGTCCGTCTGCACATAAAAAGTATCAATGAACTCTACAGGAAACAAAAAAATACCAAAGGCGTAGGACCAGAACCATGTGAAACGTGTGAATTTAGGTCAAGTATGAATTACCATGACTTTGGTGCTATGGGTGGATGCCCTACAGCCTTCCCATTTCACCACAATACTAAATTTCTGCCCTCACGGAAATGCATGCTGATTTCTAGAGCTGCTTTACTCTTGCTCTGCTGTCACAACCTAGAGACATTACTTGCAAATGCAGGGAGAAGCAAAACTGCTGTAGATCAAATGACATACAAAGGTTACAACCTTGTTGTAATCCAGTTAAAACTTTGAACAGAAAATGATTTTACAATTGATAATAGCAAGGAACATTGTTTTGTATGGTATCAAGCTGCAGGTTTAATCTAATTCTGGAAATTAAAAAAACCACTACTGAATTAGAATCACAGGAACAATTGGAAATAGAATCACTCACAGTAGGTTTCTTGCCTTCTTTGAGCAATGTTTTTCTTCTTAACGGCCCTTCCATGGTAATGACTCCTGTGGAACTACCTAATGTGCAGCTGCCCCCCCCCCCCCCCCCCAGCCACTACTGAATTAGAATCACAGGAACAATTGGAAATAGAATCACTCACAGTAGGTTTCTTGCCTTCTTTGAGCAATGTTTTTCTTCTTAACGGCCCTTCCATGGTAATGACTCCTGTGGAACTACCTAATGTGCAGCTGCAGGCCCCTGTTGGGCTGGAGAGACAAAACATTGCCATATATATTTGAGTAGACAAATAAGGACAAGAAGCAAGCAACATAATTTAGCTCTAAATGTATTTTTCCTGCATTGCCTTACATATATTGTATCATCTGACACTTGACTCTGTAATATGTATTTTCCAGACCTAGATATCAAATAGGAACCAGGATCTTTGAAAAATAGCAAATCAACACAAGGTTCTATTCTGGGGGCTTAGACATGAAAAAATAAAACAAAACAGAATAAATATTGAGGCCCAAAGTCAAAGGGAAAACAGGCAATTTTCTATTTTATTCTGGTAAATTACAGAAATTATCTGGATTTCTGGAAACTTATGGCTTAAAATTTTGGCTCCCACAAATGTAATTTTATCTTAAAATAAACTTTAGCTATCAAAAAAGAATGTAGGAAATTACCTTGGCTAATTGGAAAAAAGTTGGGAAAACCATCTAAAAATGCCAAATAATTTATTGTACAGTGATTAAAATATTTTTTCCTTTCCCAGGACGAACATAGAGCTTCCCACATACAACAGTGAAAAAGTGCTACAACTGAAAGAACCCAAGTACAGGCTAAGTTAGAAATGTAAAGAGCCATTAAGAACATAATAACCAAAGATTGATTGGTAGGTGACGATCTGTTAGAATTATCTGCTGCTAACCTTTCTTCATTGCCATGTGATCACAGCTCTGATATTCTTATAAATATAAGGCCCGATAAAGTTTACCAGAGCCAACTAAATCATGTCTAATAATGAATACAAGGAAAAGGACGTGTATGAGCTACCATTCAGTTGTGAAAGGAACACTATTCTGCCTATGAACAAGTATCATGGTGTCATGTAAACACACGCTGGAGAAAGTGATATACACAGCACCACCACCTATGCAAGAACAGCACTTCAAACTGGCAGGTGCATCTTCTTTGATTAAATGGAATTGCCTTGTCTGTGCTAATGTGTATTCTTGCCAATTCTACCCTTCTGATAGACGCAGTAGAAGATTCCAGAAAAGGAAGAATGAACGCAAGCATTAGAATTACTTGACGGTGGATAAACACAAGAAATGTATTTTAGGGAATAATTCTTCTTTGTGGATTTAATAGGCTTTTCACATTTTTATCTTCTTATATTTTATATTTCTAGCTTGTATACATTTTTGAAACAAATCTACCATGGATATGTTAAGAGAGTATTTTCCAGAAGCATGTATAATAGCTGAAATACTGTTCCAAAATTTATTCCTTTACTTATTTATAATGTATGCATTTTCATTCCTGTCTAACTTCTTCTAACTTGTGCTGCTATCAGATGTTACTAGCTCAAGTAAAACAGCTGTACTTACATCTACACGTTATATCAACATTTCTACACTGGCTGAAGCAAACTAATTTATACAGAATAAAAACTGACTGGATTTAAACTCCTACTAAATCTCAGTATTTGCAGAATTCTGTTTCAGGGCCCTATTTTCTTTACCGTTCATATGTACTTCTTCAATTCCCACTACCACAGAATTTATCTAGTCCAGGTCAGGTATGGATGCAATGAATGATTTTTATCCCTCTAACTATATACAATTTTCCATGTCACCTCTCTTTGGGCTGTAAACGGATTACCTGTTTCTGAAAAGTCCATGTCTTAGTGACTAGCAACATTGGGAGTGCCTGCTACACATGGCATTATAGATGTTCCCTCTCTTACTCGGGGTCCAAGGTAACACCTCTTTACTGTACAAAATCAACACATCATACTATAGCTCTCTGACACAAACAGATGTTATGGGTAGCTGTCCTGCAAATCAGGAAATAAATTGTGAGAAAGGGTCAAGAAGGTATCTTTCTAACATCATTATTTGTCACAGAAGGCAAAGATGGCCTTCATGACAAACCTGCTTCTGTAATGTCGTAAAACCCCAAGTAAACACTAGTTTTCTGTGATATGGAAGCCAGATATAATTAGTTAAATCAACAGCTAAACTGAATTTCATCTGAATGGGCCATACCCCTGCTTTAGCATTAATAGGAATTTTTACAAGCAGGAGGGGAAGACTCCCATGAGTTGATATGGTCATACAAGGATACTTTTGGACGCAAAATACACTACGCTAAGAAAGCATAGAGACCCAAATGAAAGTTTAGCACCGTACACTGAGCAACGTAGACCCTGAATTGTACCTGTAGACACAGCTTCGACTCCTAGGAGAATTCCGGATCGGTACCCTCCAGTTAGGCCCCAGCGTGGCATATAAACGACCCCTGTTCGTGAATGCAAATATCTGATGAGGGAAATTCTAGTCTGAGACTTCAACAGTTAGGGTTTGGTAAACATGACAGAGATAGTTCCCAATCTTTTCAGGTCCATGGGAAGAAAAACACAATAACTTTACAGTGCTTTATTTCAAAAAGTTTGCCATTTTTTCCTGACTAATCAATAATTTGATAAAAGTAACTATTGATGTAGGGCTTACCTATGTTAGGGATCATTCGTGAATTTCTTACCTAAGTCTGTAGAGTGCTCAGTGAGTGTACATGAAGACTAACTCACCTTTCAAGCCCTGATGGCAGCTCCTCACTAAATTCTGAGCTTTCACTGCTATCTAGAAAAAGAGTAGTACAGAGAAGGAGTAAGAAAACCACCCAAGGGAAAACACAAAACCAATGTATGTGGATCACCAGAATAATCTTTATATAGTACCATGGAAATTGCTTACTCAAATCATGTTTCAAAGTTGAAGTCTTTAGAGTTCATGGTAAAATCTAAAATTAGAAGAGGCTTACATGAGCATTCCCATTTATAATATCTCACTGATGAACGAAGTCATTGTTACTGTTGTGTTTAAATACCAGACATCTACATGTTACTTTAATTTTCATTATGCTGCTTTTCCTTCAAAAGCTGAGCACTTCAGGAACACAAAATCCAGTTACTTTGTAAGACAATATTTCTACCACAACATCTCTAAGCCGATTAAAGTTATTAGACATGATATCATTGTTTGTTTTCAACAAGCAAGCACACCCGTAACAAAGGGTATGTCAGCTGTATGCTGCTGCTAGGAGCCATTACAAATCAATATGATGATATTCACAATGATAGTCCCCATTTCTTCTCCAAGCCCATGACCGATTTGTCCCTCCTTCCCTGGCACAGCTATTTAGCTCACAGTTTTAGTTTGCCCAGGACTGATCTTCTAATGCTCAGTATAACACAGCGAGCTGTGCCTGTGTTTTCAGGCAAAGTTCAAAGATCATCTCAGTGTCAAACTCTTCTTGGTCAAGTAACCTGCTATCCTTCACAGTCTATTTCCTATTCTAGAAATAGCCTGTCACTTAAAAGGTGGCTTTCTCTTGCTTAGAACACAGATTCTTGATCACTTTGTTTTTATTATAATAATTATTTTATTAATTATAATACCATAGCGTAATTGTCATCATCCTCTTTCACAAGTTCATTTTATGTTTCTTTTGAAGTCTCGGAGAGCACAGCTAAACTATTCTCCCATCTTCTAAAACACATCCTTAAAATTAAAGTTTTCTTTGTGAAAAAGTAGCTTTCAAAGTATATATCCACTTTTCAGTAGCACTTTTTTTTTTTCCTGGTGAAAGCTGACAAACACTCTGTGTCACATACAGAGCATGTACAAAGACAATCTTCCTTCATCCCACTTTTACCAAAACCATCAGCAGGTAACTGAGGAAAGCTGAGATAAAGTTGACTAGGTAGCTGAGTAGCAGTTCTGATCTACTTTCTTCCATGAAAGGGACTAGTCTTTGCGCAGGAGCTAATGATCTTCCTAATTCCCTACTTTTGGGTATCTCTGTGAGTGTCTGCAGCACTGGGACAGAAAAGCAGGAATGTCAGTTCCCCACACAGACTCTACCTATGGAAAGGCCATTGGTGAAAAGCGAGTTCAGTGCGTGGCTGCGGGCCGGGCTGTGCGACTCCAGAACACTGTCATCCAGGAGGTGGCGTGGCTTCTCCGTCGGGAAGGTGGCGCTTTTGCTCTCCACTACGCTGAACTGACACATCATGCTGGAAAATTGGAAAAAGCAAAATGCAAAACCCCTCTTATGTCATCTAAAAGCAACCCTTGGCTCCTGATATTTCCACTCAGACTTTGCCTTATCAATAGGTTATTAAGTAGCAGGCAATTAAATGGCACTGCTCACACTTTCTTTCCCTCTGCTGTACATATGCTCCTTGACTACCAAAACAAGTGTCAGATTTTAGTGATCTTTGTAAGTAACAATTATTAAATTTCTGCAGATGGGAAGTTTTAAGTTTTTTGACTCCCCTCTGTACAAAACCTGAACACCCTGGGTGGAGGCAAAGGTAGAAAAACAGAAAAAGCAGACCCCAGCTAAGTCACTGCTTAGTGGTCCTTCACTAAGCTGAACTAACGTATCAACACTCTATGACCTTGGACAAGTCATGTGAACTTCTTTTTCCCTAACCCGTTAATCATGAAATTTGGTAGATGCTGAAACCTTAACTGGGGAGGAGGTGCTCTCACTTAGTTGGGTAAATGGTAGAGAAAAATGTTTCTAATCCACATTACCCAGGTAAAACAGTGCAAAAGGTCACAATTTTCCTGAATGGTAAGGTGTGCCAAGCAGCTAGTAAGTTTCCTTAGATGTATTAGCAAGATGTTTAAAAAACAACAGAAAAAAAAAAATCAGTTATGCACACCAGGAATCCACAGACCAAAGCAGATAGACAGCTTTCAAGTACTGCCAACGCCTGGCACTAGCAGAGAATAGAGTCAGCAAAAATAACAAAGTATCAAGAGAAAACCTAGAGAATACACAGTAAAGCCTGAAGCACTCTTGCGATACAAGAAATGGAAGGGACAAATAACAGAGTGTTCTGCTGCTATCTTAAACCTTTGTGATGCATGAAATTGCCTGAGCGTGAGACAGCCTGGAGTACTCACTTGTTTCCCAGGCTGTGACTCTTCCTGTGCCTTGGTACAGGAGGTGTAGGTAGACTTGCTGCTACTGAGGCATCAGGACATGTGGGTCTCCTGCTGAATTTCACAATTGCTGACACGTCAGATGGACCTAAAAGACAGAGATCATTTAACATTGAACTGATGCAAAACCCAGAAATTTCATGGGCTGGTGTGTTTAGCCACTGATTAAAATGAATTGTTACAGATAACCAGAAGGCACCATTTCTGAAGAACTGTTTCTTGGGCATTAGGGTTACACCATCCATTTCTGTTATGAATTCATCTCTATATTCTTGAACTGTCTGGAAGTAATTTTTAAAACAGCTTTGCACATACTTTTAACAATGAACTCCTACAAAAAGTCTTGGCACCCTTACAACAGCTGGATGTGCCAAAGTGTAATATGCAGAGCCATAAAGTCAGTTTGTACTTCGGGTGTGAGCAGGAATGCTCACACATGTTTTGAATTTTGTTCACAACTCCATGTTGTGAATAAACTGTAAACAATCTGCTCATACTGACTCACAGCCTGAGCATGTAAGAGAAAGCAGAGGCTTTTCATGTATCTAATGGCCAGACAGATGCATTACTTCTCAATCATCTATGAGCTCTAGAAATGTCTCACTGCAATTATTCTTCCTCTCATTTTACAGATTTTATGAGGCCTCACAGAAAACATGGACAGGCTGTTCCTGTTCCAGTTCCTTGATGCTGTTTGCAAAAGGCTGGCAGTGAACTTTGCAATACAGTGGAAAACAACATGGCCCATCATCATCCTCAGTGAATGCAAGGCTATTCTTGGCTTCACAATAAACAGTTGAAATTTCACTTTTAAACATTCAGTTGTGGCACTGGTGCTTGTAACAGAAGTGGAAATAGTGGTCATGAAAGTGGCCATCTGCCCCATATCTATTTCCAGACTTGGTACAGTTCAGGTAGCAGCGAAACAGACTTCACCCTACATTACAGGAACCACTTCTTGGAGGCTCCAGCGACCTTAGCTTAGTCAGCTTCTGGCCTCTAACCTAAAACCACCCGTTAAGAGGTTGACAGAGACAGAAACTTTGTGATGTGATAATCCACATACAACTATCATCAGAATCCTTACAAAAGCATCTGGCCTCAAATTAGTGATAAACAGAAATAGAAAAAAAACCCATACAAAACCCCAACATTCCAGGGCACAGTTTAACAACAGGATGTGAAGGTACAGTCATAACAGAAATGGTTCTGACAGGGTGGTTGGTCACCGGAACAGGCTCCCCAGGGACATGGTCACGGCACCAAGCCTGTAAGAGTACAAGGAGAATCTGGACAACGCTCTTGGTAATATAATTTAGTTTTAGGCAGTCCTGCGAGGAGCAGGGAGTTGGACTCGATGATCCTTATGGGTCCCTTCCAACTTGAGATATTCTATGATTTTTATCTGTTATATAGGCTACTCCATCTCTCCCCAAGCACCGAAATTATTCATCAGTTTCCTCTGCCTTAAACTGAGGATTCAAGAGACACAGGAAGAAACAGGAGAACCACTAATGAGTTTGCCCTAGTAAGAGGCAAAAAATACAAATAGATGCAAGATGCTTTACTGTCCATACCCACTCTGCAATATAGACATATCAAGTTGTATGAAATATAGGAATTAATTCCAAATTACTTTTATTTCCCCATAGCCTAGACTCAGGAATTTCCTATGAACTGGGTCATTACTATGAAGAATTGCAAAGGTTTTTCCCTAGCAGTAAGGGGAAAAAAAATCTCATCCACACAGTGTTCTGCACATTTGAGCAAACCGTTCGTAGTGCTGTTTAATTAACAATGAAAGGAGTCTCAAGACAAGCAGAAAGAAGAAACTGCTTCTAGCAATAGAGAGAGGGGAAACAAGTTCATTAGAGGAACCTTCAGTAATATAATTCATCAGATCATCAATTTAGTGGGAAAACAAAAAGAGAAAACAGCTTGTAATCCTGTTTTCTACCTTATTCCTATATACCATCTTATATAGGACAGCATTTTTGCCTGCCTGTCTTTGCTACCATCGCACAACTGAGAATTTGTGAAACGTGACAGCAGTAGCATGAGTCACTGGCATATGTGGCTTCAGAGAAGGTCTTATGCCTAAAGGCCACGTGCAGTTTTAAAAAAATGCACTTTTAATCATTACTTGATCCAGAGATTCAACCAGAACCATACGCCTGTGAGGTCGGAAGAGGGCTGAGTACAATGTTCTGCTGCATTTTCAATTAAAATTTTGTTGCATTTGGGCTGTAAGACAACATTGGAAGCTTTTTCCCTAAAGACAATAGGGTTCATCTTCCTCTTCTGCCGTGGAGGCTAAGCACAAGTTAGAATATAAAAAGTATGAATCCGAGCACAATTAGGTGGTGACTAGTTTAGTGTAAAAACTGTTTGAATTCGTATTTCACCATTAGGTCTGAAAATCTTATCTGTTGCATTACTAGCAAGAACATGTATTTCACTAAAGTCTTTTACCACAAGTTTTCATTACGAATTGTTAAAATTTACGCAGAGACAAACCGAATGCATTCAGAAGTTTCAGATATGATTACAAGTTTTTTTATTTGAAAACCTCCAGCCCTTCTGATGAACTAGGTTCACAAAAAGGAGTTCTCTCTACATGCTTTGTTTGTAGTGCCTTTCCATCAGATATTTTTCAACTTGTGAACAGTAAAATACTTAGGACTACTGAGGCGTTTACTACCTGCTAAGAAGCTTAAAATATATTGGAACTGAGACCCAGTATGAAGATAGTGGCAGCTGAAAGAGAATTTTCCTGACAATTATGAGCATGTATCAGCAAGAGTTTAGTCTGAAACTCAGCATAAAATTCAGTGTTAATGTGGCCACTCTGAGGTTACCATCACACCTTGCAATGCATTAAGTCACTACTTGTCCCTTAATTTGGCTGCAGGATTGGTTCAGTTTTCTGTTGCTTCCCGTTGTGTCATTCAGCTCTTTCTCTCTGGTGCCAGTTCTAAATCCTGATTTACATTAAGTTCTTTTAAGTGGATGACATTACAGTTCACTGAGAGCTACTGAAGCATTATGTTTAACAAACTGTTGAAACTTGCAATGCATTAAGTCACTACTTGTCCCTTAATTTGGCTGCAGGATTGGTTCAGTTTTCTGTTGCTTCCCGTTGTGTCATTCAGCTCTTTCTCTCTGGTGCCAGTTCTAAATCCTGATTTACATTAAGTTCTTTTAAGTGGATGACATTACAGTTCACTGAGAGCTACTGAAGCATTATGTTTAACAAACTGTTGAAACTACAGCCTGTGAAAGAGTAGCAATCTCAAGGCACAGCCCTAAATGAGTACCAGTATGGTGCAGTGCTTTTTCACACAGACACTATGCCATATGTCAGAATAACTGTTAAAATTTTCTAATACATAAGAGTTTAAAGGTTTAAGTTTCTCACTGTGGAGAGTCACAGAGCTGAAAGCAGTAAGACTGTTCAATTAATTCGATTCTAAGACAATGTTCATTGAAACAAAGCATGGAGACTGCACCGAAACTACTTTATCTAGAAAAAGAACAGCAAAATACAAAATCTCGTGCTGACACAATCAAGCCATTTCAAAATCAAAGTCAGCTGGATTTGACTCCAGGTATTTTAAAGTATTTATAGGTTCAAATGTTATCGTTATCAAAACCTACAAAAAATAAGAGATGTTGTCTACTGACAAAAATAGTTCTTCGAGAGTTTTCACTCTACACTCCCTTTTTTTGGAAATTAAACTCCCATTTAGGAAGCGTGAAGTGAAATTTGCACTAATATGAATACAACACAAAAATATTTAAAGATTGATCATTATAACTTGATTTTAGCAAGAGCTTTTATTACCTGGACAGCTTCAGAACAGAAAAAGTTTGTTAAAAAAAAACTGAAAAAAAATTATGTAATGTGTCTAAAAGGACTGCATATTTCAGATTGAAAATAAGATTATAGAATCAGACTTCAGTTCAGGTTAAAATACTGCCTGACTACGGTGAGATGTGTCAAGGGTGACAGAATTTGTGGAAATAGGTATAGGAGCCTTACAACTTAAGCCAACAGTTCCAGCCTGGCTTCCTTGCTATTATACATGGCAATCACAATTGCTTTCATCAGTCCTGTGAAAGGAGATAATGGACTTACTCTAATTCCTAGTCAGGTGTCTTTAGTGAAGATCCTGATGACAGAAAACAGAATGCTTTGTGGGCTAAGATGAAGACGGAAATATCAGTCATGCTGGTATTACTCTGTCTGGAGTGGCCATTTTCTATGTAGTTCTGCATCTTCCTCATCTCCAAGGCAAGAGAAGGAAATATATACAGTTTGGCTCTGTTAACCCTGTGCTAAGGTAAAAAGAATCTGAGCTTAAAAAGCTATACAAAGTCTTTGCATCTGCTCTGCTGTCAAATGTCTATGAAGAAGAACTGTGAAGTTCAGAGTTCTTGTTAGACAGGACCTGTGCTGCAGGGTATGCTCAGTTCAGCAAGAAGTCTGGGGTGCAGAGGGTGTCAGCATGAGTTATGGGGCACAGGGGAGATGACCTCATTTCTGTAAAGGGGTAAGAGACAAGAGAGCCTGTGCCAAGAAGGATGCCAAAGAGGGTAAGTGGTGAGATACTGATGAAAACTGCACAGACCAAGGGATGTTTATGGACATACCAGACTGCTGAGCAATTAGCTGGGGAAGCTATGCCCGATACTGCTGATAACAAAATTCCAATATTTAAATTCATTTGAGATTGAGTTATTTTGCCCCTTTTTTTCCAATAAGTGAAGTCATCTGCTACTGCTAACTCTCCTCTTTACTCTCCTGGCTCCACTCCTAGTGCATACTGTTACCATGATTGCTATTCTGTTATTTTGCCTTTCATGGAGACAAAGCACTCTTAGTAGGATTTTCCAGTCAGCTGGCATGAACAAGGGTTAGTTTGGTTTTCATTATTTCTCAGCATCATTTTCAAGACTATGCTGACATGCACAAAAATAATGTATAAAAATACTAAAACATTATTAAAAATTTGTTTGCGTTAGGGAACGTGAGACAACTTCATCAGAGTAAGCTGAGTGCTGTTCAGAGATCTGTGGCAAGAACAT